GAAACCTGCCTTTCAGTACCTCCTTCACCTAAGAAGTTCCTATAACAACCTTATTATAGCACTTATACTGTAGATTTGTTTATTGTATGTGCCTGTTTCTTATACCATTCTGGGAGCACTTTTGGGACAGAGATTATTTTTTTTTAAAGATTTTTTTTTTATTCATGAAGAACACACAGAGGCAGAGACATAGGCAGAAGGAGAAGCAGGCTCCCCAGCAGGGAGCCCAATACAGGACTTGATCCCAGAACCCTGGGATCACGACCTGAGCCGAAGGCAGATGCTCAACCACTGAGCCACCCAGGCACCCGGGACAGAGATTTTGCCTGTTGATTGAAAACTCTCAGCTCCATTATTTTGGTATAGTTTAAAGATTGAAGTTCCAGAGAGTCAGGACATTTTATAAAAATATACAAGTTAGGGTATATCTAAAAAAGAAGAGTATATATATATATATATATATATATATATATATTTTTTTTTTTTTTTAATATTTTATTTATTTATGCATGAGAGACACAGAGAGAGAGAGAGAGGCAGAGACACAGGCAGAGGGAGAAGCAGGCTCCATGCAGGGAGCCCGACGTGGGACTCGATCCCGGGACTCCAGGATTATGCCCTGGGCCGAAGGCAGGCACTTAACCACTGAGCCACCCAGGGATCCCCAGAAGAGTATATTTTTTGTTGAATGTGCTGTTATGGTTGTTAAAGGATCTATTTACCAGTGTTACTTATCAAAGTTATAGTGAAATTTATACAAATTATATGAAATTTAAACAAATTTCATATCAACAGAGAATATTCCCTTAATGCAAATATGAGAAATCTTAAATGTCTTTTATATCGCAATTGGGAATTTTTCAGTGGAAACAAACTTAGGATGTCATAAGTTAGTGGAAAAAAAACATACATGATTTTTACAGAATATTAAAGAAGTCTATTTGTATGAATAAAATCAACTCATCCTAACAGAACATTTTGGCTTGGAGGACTATGAAAAAAAGTTTATGAAACTGTATCACTTTTCATAATTTGATGGTGGTGTCTTTTTTTATTTTTTTATTTTTTATTTATTTATTTATTTTTTGATGGTGGTGTCTTTTAACAAATTGTTTATAATCAGAGTAATAATGGATTCTTATCATTGTTAACAATTCTTGCATCATCTCATTCAGTCCATACAATTATCCAGTAATACAAAAACAACTATTATTTCTATTTTACTGTCTAGGAAAGTGACCTTTAAATACTTTCTTCAAAGTTATATAGATACCAGTAAAAAAGTGGCAGAGATATCCAAAACAGGCTCCTAACCATCATATGGCAGTTGCTCTCTCAAAATGGCAGTCTTAGATTGTGAAATCCATTATCATTAATTTTATTTACTTCTAAGTAGGTTTCTATCCTAGCCACCAAAATTACTTGAAGCCTATTTCAAAATATCTTCAGTGAACACATTCATAGGTCCTTTGACAATATATACTTATGCAACAGTGTATGTATTTCTCACTTTTTGCACTATTGACTTCTCTAAGAAGTTATATATGAATTAAGTTTGTAGATTTCAATTTTTATAGGTCAATTTGTTTTATAGTTTTACAGATGCTTTATTAAAATTTTGGTTTAATTTTTAAAAAAAGATTTATTATTTGTTTAGAGAGAGAGCAAGAGCCCATGCCTGCAGGATTGGGAGAGGGGCAAAGGGAGAGGAAGAGAAGAGAATCTCAGAAAGACTCTCCACGGAGTGCAGAGCCTCACATGGGGCTTGATCCATGACCCAGAGATCATGACTGGCCTGAGCAAAAAGTCAAAAATTGATCACTCAACCAACTGAGCCACCCAGGCATCCCAAAGATTTTGGTTTAATTTTTTTTTTGGTTTAATTTTTAATTATTATTCTATCACTGAGCTCTGTCAAGTAGTTAATATTAATAAGATTCCTGATTAAATAGAGGCACGGCTATTTATTATTTATATATTTAAAAGATTTATTTATTTATTTGACAGAGAGATTGAGAGAGAGAGACAAAGAGCACAAGTGGGGGTAATAGCAGAGAGAGAGGGAGTAGAGAAGCAGGCTCTCTGCTGAGTAGGGAGCCCGATGGGGGCTCCATCCCAGGACCCTGGGGTCATGACTTGAACCAAAGGCAGCTGCTTAAGCAATTGAGCCACCTGGGTGCCTATTGCTATTTAAAATAAAGTTTTAATCATTTTGTAAAATAAATTACAACTAGGACTAATTATTTTTAATTTACCAAATTTAAACCTTTAAATTTTAGTTATAAAGCTTTATCTAAGTGAGATCCTGTGTATATTTGCACACCTTTCACACCAAAACTTGAGCTACACATTGAAATGTTTTATTGGATTCGTGTAATTTTTATGAAACAGAAAGTCACAGTTAAAAGAATATAAGCTTAACACTATGGTATTCGTTGACATTTTCCTTTAAGGGATTTAGATCAGGTTTTCTTACCAAACAAGTATACAGAACTATAAACATCATTTTAATCACATTTTAAAATATTAAAAACCTATGCTATTAAAAATTTTCACTATAAAATTGTCACATTGTATTTGTTATGCTACTATTTTTTGCATATTAGCAGATGAATATATAGCATTGCTGAGTTATGAAAATTGTACAGTGGTATAAATGCTATGTAAGTGTTAGATGATTTTTAGCAGAATTTAATATTTTCTCATTTTTAACAAATTGTCATTTTTCTTTGCTTTTTGATATAGATACAGGTATCTGTGTTATCTGTTGTACTTGAGTTATTTAATGCCATGGTATGCAAGGACCAAAACTGATTGTAGCCCAGGTCACTTTGTATTTTATGTAATGACTGACTTTCTGATACAATTTAAAAAATTTACAGCAGAGTGAGTAAGATGCAGATTTCCTCAAGCCTCTCTTGACTTACTCTTGCCTTTTTTGTGCTGTTTCAAAAAGTAATAATTACTAGTTTTGTTTGTTTTGCAGGCCACTTAGAATGGTTTAACTGTAGAATCCACTGTCACTGTATTGCCCCTACAGTTGGTTGCTTAGGTTCTTTCTTCTTTAACTTGTGCCTTTCTAGGTATTTATGTAGTTTTTTAATCAAATAATTTCTTAATCATAGTAATTGTGATTGAATTATTATATTAAATTATTGATCCTGAAAGGCGTATGAAAAAATTAAGAGTACTGTTTTGTTCATTAAACTTGCCATAGAAAGTTTATAAAGTTTCTAAAACCCCCTATTGCCATTCATTTAATGTATTCTCCACACATTGTGACTAGTTTAAATAAGCAGAAAGCAAACCACTTGCATGTTTTATGCTTAGGTTTTAAGATGTTTCTTAAAAATCACAACCTCAAAACAGCCTGTGAGTTAATAAGTAGGATAGATTTATTAGCCTTATCTTAAGGATAAAACATAGAAGGCTTAATTAAGTAAAAATCACTAAGACCTTGCAGATTAGGGAAGAATTTCTTGAACAAGACATGGCAAGCACAGACTACAAAAGAAAAAGTGGTAAATATAATACATAAAATAATCAATAGAAAGAAGGACAAGAGCTGTTCCCAAAGAAGGAACCCAAATGATTGATAACATGAGGTGATTAGCCTCAGTAGGAGAATGGGAACGCAAATTAAAATAATGGTGGGGAAAACAAAAACTAATAGAGGGATACCATTTGTCAAACATCAGATTGTCAACAATTAAAATACCTGACCATATTTTCAGGGCTGAAGGAAAGTGGTAATTCTTGTACTGCTCGAGGAAGGTAATTTGGTATAATCATTCTAAGTGCCATTTGACAGTGTGTTTTGATTCATAAGAGTAAGGAATTGAAAGAACCTAAATGTCTATCAGTAGGGGAGTGGATTAGAAAACTGATACGGTATTGTGATGGAAATTGTACAGCAGTTAAATGTAATGCAATGGGTCTATGTAAGTTATGATATAAAAAACATAATGAAGAGTGAAGAGAGTAAGTTGTGAAAATTATATCTTTTTAATATTACTATTAATGTGGCTACAAAACCATGTATATCTCAAGACTGTGTATTTTTCATGGATATACATATATGCATATAAATGTATTTTAAAATATTCCAGAGGAATATATTCTAAATTCAAATAGTAGTGGTTTCTAGAAAGTATAAAGGGAACTTAACTGGAATATAATACTTTTTCTTAATAAGACTTAAACATGGAAAATACTAATTTCAGTTCTAGGTGGTAAGAACATGAACATTTGTTTAATTATACTTTCTACTTCTTTTAAAATTTTGTTAAACAAAAAAGGAAGTTACTAAGAAATAGTAGTTGACAGAGCAAGTACGAGCTTAGACTTGATTCCCAAGTCTAGAGCTCTTCCAATTAATATGCTGCCTCAAAATTAGAAGAAAAAGAAAGATCAAATGATAAAATAGGTAGACAGAATTCAGTTGTTTTTTTTTTTTTAAAGATTTTATTTATTCATGAGAGAGAGAGACACAGAGACATAGGTAGAGGGAGAAGCAGGCTCCCTGTAGGGAGCCTGATTTAGAACTCTATCCCAGAATCCCAGGATCACGCCCTGAGCCAAAGGCGGATGCTCAACCACTGAGCCGCCTAGGTGCCCCAGTCAGAATTTAGTTTTTACAGTAATAAGAATCAGGAGAATTATGTGTTCATGCTAAAATTTTTTCAGAGGAAAGTTATAAGCTAAAAGTTATTATAATCATATTATTTAAAAATCTTTAAGCATGCTGTTATCAAAAATGTATAGAGAACAACTTAAGTACTTAGGGAAAAATTACCTTAATTTATTGTTTAAAATGTGATACATATTTCTGTTGCATGTAATGGAAGACTTTAGAGGATTTGAATTTTTTATATAAAATTCATGAAAATAATTTAATCCAAATTTTCAATCTAACTTCAATCTAAAAAAGTCAAAAGTAGCTTTTCTTCCATTTTGTAAAGTAATTCTTCACAAAAACTTTACAGCCTTTTTATTTACAGCTTCTCTCCAAGATAAAATGGCAAACCCCAAAGAGAAAACTCCAATGTGTCTGGTAAATGAGTTAGCCCGTTTCAATAGAGTCCAACCCCAGTATAAACTTCTGAAAGAAAGAGGGCCTGCTCATTCGAAGGTAAGGTTATGAAGAGAGGTGGTGAGACATACTTATCAAAGTCTATCAGATTTATCATCTCAGGTTTTAATTGTGCTACATTGTGTGTGTGGGGAGGGGCAGCAGATTACCTGCAGGCTTTTAGTTTTATATTAATAATATTTACAAGTCTGTAACTAAACAGTTTTATAGCTCATCATGGTTTACAAAGCTCCTTCAGGTATAGTACTTCAGAAAAACTTTAACAAATCATGAAATGTGGATTTTGATTTCTGTTTTGTAAATTAACTCAGGCACTGAAAAGTTCAGTGACTTGCTTAATAATAGCTCATAAGTGCCTGTGCCAGCACTTGAATATGTGTTTTTTGGCTCCCAAGAGCAGTGTTTTTTCCATTAAATTATAACTGCTAATGTAAAAATGAACACAGAGTAAATATAACAACAGTTACCTACTGAGACATCTTTTCCAGTGTGATATGGATTTATAAGCTTCATTATTTATAAAAGTTGTATGTACCAGTATTGTTGTTATTTATGCATTCATTTGTAATATTGTTCTCTTAAGTGGAAAAGCAGCTTATATTTATATATAGCCTCTTACATATGTTTATATATATACATGTTACAAGTCTATAATTAACTCATTTATGTTTGAGCTTATTCATATGTTTTAAAAAGTCTCAGTTGTACACAAATTTCCATGGTACATTTTTAATCTTGGATTGGAGGTTATGATAATGATCATAAATTTTTGTTATGTTGAAGCAATTGATTCTCTAAAAGTTCACTAATCTGTATAAAGCAATGGCTGTTGGATTATTGAATTGTTTTCTAATACTTCCTTCTAAGTAAGGGAGATAAGATGAAATTGAAATCTGTTAATTTTGTTCCTTATTAGAGACTTGAAGAAGGATTTCTGGTTTAATTTGTTCATAACATTATTTGTGTAGAGAAAAAAGTTGTGGCCTTGGTCTACCTGTTAGGTCATTTATCCTGACTCTCTTTTATACCCATTAATCCATATTCATTTCATATTCATTCTCTTTCTGACCTTAATCATGTTGAACTGTTTGTATTTTTTAGAATGTTTCATGTTTTTTTTACATCTCTCTGCTTTGCCTATATTGTACTGTCTCTTCGTCTTGAAGATCTTTTTATTCTTACTCATTTTTGAAACTCAGCTCACATGTCACATCTTCTAAACCTCTGTGAATCTTCTCTGATCCATCCACTGGGCCTTCAGCAGTACCTGCTTTCCTCCTGTATAGTCATTGCTGTGCTGTACATGATATATGTTGGTCATCACTATTGTACTAGACTGAGCTTTTTTTTAGGGTTAGTATTTTGTTCTTCTGTATTTTTATGGAAAATACAGAAGGATCTGTCTTCTTGGCTCCTCAGTTCTAATTCCAAGTACTCTTCCTGGAGATGACTCCTCAATGTGGAATTTCATGTTAATAGATTGATCCCACATCACCTCATGGTAGTCATTTGTTGATCTCTGGGTGATTCCATCATATTTCTCATGCTTCACTTTTACTCTCACTCATCATGTTTTAATTTTTGGTGATTTCACTAAGTAGATCATTGCTCCAACATGCTGACATTTCTGTTTCTTGCACTTCTGTTGGTATCTTGCTTCCACTCTTCTCTATCCACTCATTCCTGTGATCATATTCTTGACTTTATCATAACCAGTAACTGGAAGACCCTCCATGATTTTAATCTCAAGGATTCATCTCTCTCTGAGACTGCCTAACTTTCTAGTTCATTCCCTCTATTAGTTTAACTTTAGTAGTTCTTCCACACCACAGATCCATTGTTTCTACCTCCCTTTTACTATTTCTTGCTCCCCTCAGTCCTCACATGGTTCTTATCCAGCTTAAATTCCATTTGCCTTCTGTATACCCTCAGCAGTCTTGCTCCCCTTGGTTAACACTTGCTTGGTCAAATCCCAACCTAAATCTAAACCCTGCTGTCCCTTCTGCATTATGGATGGACTGCCTGTAGGGCCAAACCCCTCTATTTCTGTACTAAATCCCAGCTCCTCTACCTTTTTCAAGGCTATTCCTCCAACTTTCCCTCTGCTTCCCTCCTTACCTCTGCCTTTCTTCTATGTCATCAGTTTCCCTTTCTAATGGATCAGGTTTGTTGTAGTCCATTTAGATTTCTAGATAGTCCCAGGAATCCCTTGAGTTTTTAGGGAGATTTAGGGATCCCTTTGCCAACCCTTATTGTGCTTATTTTTCTGGGTACTTTGGTCATAGACCACCTTAGTTAGCCTGTAGCTCATTTTTTAAATAGTGAGTAGTAGAATAATTAGCATTTTTGAATGAAATAAAACATTTATGACTCTAATATTAATTATTAATGTTAGTATTAATTGGCTAGGTCTGGATCCCTTTTGTGGAAAGCAAAATCATTTTCATTCATGTATGTCTATTAGTGATTTGGAGACATACACTGTATTTTAATGAAATAAATTATTATCTCTGGCATGAATAATTTAAACCTAGCTCCAACTCATTTATTTTCTTGGGAGATTAATCAGTTACATGACAGTTTACATACTGGGTATGTATATATGTTTTTATGTTACATATACACAAACACTCAGAGTAGTGGTTCTCAACCTTGACTGTTCATTGAAATCCCCAAGGAAGCTTATGCCTGAGTCTTACCTGCAGAGATTCTAATTTGATCGGTCTTGGGTGAGGCCTAGACATTAGGATTTTTTTTTAAGCTCTCAGATGACTCAAATCTGCATCTAGAGTTGAGAAACATAAGATAATTTCCTCAGAGTGGTATAGAATTATCTTTTCATGCATACTTGTTGATGGGAAGTAGTGATCTTATGTTTACATACTTCTTTCCTCAACACCAAGCCTTATAGAATTTGAACAATTTATGACAACTTTTAACATGTGACTATTAAATAAAAAATTGTAACATTTTCCTTGCCTTCTTTTGTTTTTTTTTGATCACTTTCAGGTTGAACTCTGAAGTAATTTGGTAACGATTATATTGATGTGACATTACTATATCTCGTAGGTACCTAAAGACAGTTCATTTTTTTTTATGCATTGTTGTTTTGACTTTCAAATCCCTGAAGAAGGCTGTCATAATGTAGAATATAAGAAAGAGAACCAGAAAGAACAAAAAATGGTATTTTCTTCTTTTTCCTCTATTTCCCTATTTTGCATAGTTGTCAGTATGGGTGAGTGTTTAGAAAGCTCCAGTAGCTGTTGTACTCTGAGAAGGTTTACCTTGGAATAGATATTACTGAGGGAGACAGTATCATCAAGTGGCCTTGAAGCCAAATAGTCTTTTTTTCCTTTAATCCTAGCTAGATTTGTCAAGCTTATCTTTGCCTGCTTTATCCAGCTCATGTGGCCTTGAGCAAATAATTTAGAGTTTAAAATTTTCTCATCTGTAGTTTGAGAAATATATCTGTTCTAGTGTAGTGTCATGGAATGATGATTTATAAATTCCTAGCAACTATGTTGATGATGGGGGTACCCAGGTAATTTTATCATTGCTTGTTAGTAGTATATAGGATTAAAAAAATCTTTGGTAAAATATCTGTTGAGTATTTTCTACATCACACGCACTTTTCCGTCATTGGAGCTTCCTACTTTGGTGTCTTCTCTGATGTCTCTCTTTGGGTATTGTGGATACAAGTCTTTATGAGATAAATGTTTGGCAGTTATTTCCTCCTACTCTATGGTTTACCTTTTCTTTTTTTAACAGTGCCTTTAGAGAGCAGTAGTTGTTAATACTGATAAATGCCAATTTATCCATTTGTTCCCTGTGTAGTTGTACTTTTGGTATCAAGTCTAAGAAAGCTTTGCCTCCTCAAAGATCGTAAGATTTTCTCCTGTTTTTTTCTAGATATTTTATTGCTTTAAGTCTTACATTTATATCATACATTTATGTCTTAGATTTAGATCTAATTGCCATTTTGTGTTAATTTTTGTATGTTATATGAGATATGGAGCAAGGCTTATTTATTTTTTTTGCAAATAGATGTCCAGTTGTTGAGATTATCCTTTCTTTGCCGTGTGGCTTTGTCAAAGATCAGTTATCCATGTATATGTTTATTTCTGAAGTCTCTTTCGTTCTCTTGATTTTCTCATCTTTATGCAAATCCTGTGCTGTTTCCTTTGTAGTAGCTTTATAATTTTGAAATCTGGTAATAGTAGCCCTTTAATTTTGTTCTCTTTCATTTTGCATTTTTATGTGAATTTAAAGTCAACTTGTCCTTTCTATAAAACACTGTGCTGGGATTTGAAGAGAACTGCCTGACATGAATCTATAGCTCAATTTGGGGCAAATTAACATTGTAGAAAAATTGAGCCTTCCAACACATGAACAAAGTATCTCTCATTTATTTAGATAGATTTAGATTTAGATTATTTAGATATTATTTAATTTCTCTCAACATTTATAGTTTTCAGTAGTCAAGTATTTTATGTCTTTAGAATTCTCTGTGTTTCATTTTATAAAAAGATTTTATTTATTTATTTATTTACTCATTCATTCATTCATTCATGAGAGACACAGAGAGAGAGGCAGAGACATAGGCAGAGGGAGAAGAGTCTCCACGCAGGAAGCTTGATGTGGGACTTGACCCCAGAACTCTGGGATCACATTCTGAGCCAACCACCCAACCTCTAGCCACCCAGGCATCCCAAGTATTTCATGTTTTTGATGCTGTTGTCAGTGGTCATGTTTTTTAAATTTCAGTTTCTTGTTATTTTATTTTTTTAGTTTCTTGTTCTTACTGATTTTTGCTACTGTATAAAATACACTAATTTTTGTGTATTGATGTAGTATTCTGTAAGTATTAGTCTTACTAATAAACTCATCAGTTCTTGTAGCTTTTAAAAAAATTCCTTTTTAGGGTTTGTTGGGGGTTCTACATGTCATTTATGAAAAAAGACCATTTTAAATCCTATATTTTTTAAGGTTTTATTTTTTCATGAAAGACACAGAGGTAGAGACATAGGCAGAGGGAGAAT